ATATAATGTTATTGTTATTACTTATATTATTTTTGTTTTTATTAGTCGGTTAATTCAACAAGTGGACAATCACGATCAAATACTTCTCTAAAACGATCTGCATCTCAAACACAACATGCTATTAAATCATCATCATCATCTGTGCGACATTCTTGGAAACAAACTGATGATATTGATCAATCAACAGAATGGTTAATTCATTATTTATATTATTAATATAAATATTAACTTATCTATTTTCTTGTTTTTTTTTTAGTTCGAAAACTTCATCAACATCAACAAATCGTAGTCATATTCCAGATGCATTACAAGATTATGATCATGTATGTGCTAAATGTAATATGCCATTTAATAGTCAATCATCGCTTGATGAACATCAAAATGGACAGTAAGTATTGATTAACATTAATCATTTTGCAATCCAAAACAAAATTATCCATCTGCCATGAAGTGCTACTACCTTCATCAATTCACATGTACTAGAGTTATGATTCATGCATCGTCTTTTCCTTTGCGAGAATCATAACTCCAGTATAAGACAAGTTTATGCTTGCTGATCAAAGTTTATTATCGCATGCATGCACTGAAAATATCAACTCAATATAATATTAAGAATAGTAGCACGTACCTGAGAGAACGACTACTTTCATCTAGAACTGTCTATTTGTTTTCTATTGTGAATTTAGATGTTTGGAAATGAATGTTCTTGCATCATGTGGTTCATGGTTTCGTTGTCCATTATGTTCATTAACTTATTGTGATGCTAATCTTATGTCATTACATATAAATAAGACACATCGTGATGTACTTAAAAGTAATCAACGAGGTAATTCTCAACGTCGATCAAATAATAATCGTAATAGTCAAACATTAACAACATCACGATCTGAACATCATCATCTTCGTAAATATTCCTAAAAATAAAAGAAAAATATATTCATATGTCTTTTCTGCTTGTTTGTTGTCAGTTTCATTTCTTCTTCGATTGTTTGTTTTATGTCGTCGAAAATATATAAAACTAAAAAAAAATGAAAAATTCAAAAAACAATAATATATTAGTTGCTTATGAACTTGTCGTGTTCGATACGTTGAATATGTAACAGAAAGACAATTTTTTTTGATTGAATTTCTTTTAAAAAATTAATGAGATTGGATGAATTGAACATCTTATTCATTTATTATTTAGATGAAAGTATACATTTGATGACTGTTACAATTGAATTATTGGAATTGATTTTTTTTAATATCCAAGTGAATTTCTTTTAATATTATCTTTTAAATTATAGCTCAGTTAGAAATATGCCGGTACTATTATATTAATTATTAGCGATACGCGTCAACAGTTATCGGATCATCGTTGTTATGTGTCCAATGTTCATAATGTTTATTAGGCTTTTTTTTTAAATAGAATTTGTTTTATCATCAAACACCTGAGATCTTTCTTTTATTTATATTTCCGTATTACAATTTTTCTTTCTACTAAAAACTAAGTTTTCTGATGTTGTATACATCCTAAAGAACATAAATTACACAGTTGCTTTTTTCGTAGATTTGAAAACAATTCCAGTGGTATAATAATTGATCATTTGTAATGTGTTCAATGAAATAAAGTTAAAGATTACTCAATCGATTCTACGTTTTTAATAGTTCCAATGAGAATGATTATTTATATAAACTAATAAATGCATTATCAGGAGGAAAAAGTTGTGTAAGAGGATTATCCAAATAAGGATGTCCAAGTAAAAATTCCATTTGCTGACTCTCCTTCTCCTTTATTCGGAAAGTCCACTTTTGACCGCCTCCTCATTCTTTGGGCATCCAGTTTTCAGAAAATTTCATGAAAAATGCTTAAAAAACCAAAACAAAATCGTAAAAAAAATGTTCAGATGCGTCCAATTCCACTTTGTTTTTCGTAGAAATTCTTGATAAATAGCTGCCTAAAAGATTTCTTCGAATCTAGAAGAAGACTAGAATATGTTCAACTTTGAAAGAAATCCTCAGTCGACATAGTATAATGAATTTATCTTCTTTTTATCTTAATTGTAACTTCACAGCATGTTTTAATAATACTTTCAATATCTTTTGAAGGAAATTCTATCAACTTCAACCGCAATAAACAATTGTTTGCTATAATTGAACATCACTCTCGATATGTTATTTGTCAATAATTGCATAACTGTCGTTATGAACGAAAGTTTTTATTAGAAAAAGTTCAATTTTATAGAGTGACAGAATGAGTAATACTAATGAGAATTATATTGAGATGCTCTGTACAAATCTCGACATTTATGAAACCAAATCTATACAATGTCAGTTAACATTTCAAAATAAAAGAATTATTCTTGATGTGAGAAATTCGATATTCTGCCTTTTTTTATAATCGACAAAGTGTAACTTAAACAGTGAACTTACTCGATTTCAATTTGCGAAAGCATCCGAATAGATATCTTATATATGAAATAAGCATGCACTTCACGCAGTCAGCTGCCTTAATAAACAAGAATAAATACAACGTTCACAATAATGAGAGCATGAATCTGAAAAAAAATTAAAAAAATTAGAATACATACAGCTCTCTATACTGTTTATTATAAGGCAAACATTTAATTTAGTAATAGATGAAAACTAAAAACTTCTGGTTTTACATTTCTTTTCCTCATTAGAATTTTCTAATAAATTCTTAGATTGATTACGGGTTATTTCAATGGAACTTTTCTTCATCAGAGAAATTCGTCAAAAATCAAAATTAATTAAACACCTATATATAAAATGAAAGATATTTTTTATTAGCTTTTCTTTAAACGTCCATCTTATAATTGACATCTTTTTTTTTACTAATAGTCATGTTGCTGTGAAATCGATTGTCTAAATTTCTATATTTTTGTATTAAATTTAGCTTTACAAATTCTACTGAACGTTATTTCAATGATGAACATGATCGTTATTTTGTTGCGCAGTCGAGAAATTCGTCATCGTCGTACACGACAATAAACGATATCTCGCACAAGTTTGTGCAATTGATAAGGCTCATCAAATTGTCGAAGTTCAATGTTACAGGCCAGCTTTTTCACACTCATCTAAGTTGGCTTCGTACACTAATATACAAAGCAAGTTGACATTTCAATGGAACAATATTATTGCCTCTTTTCTCGATGAACCATGGTCTGGTCGTCGAACACAGCTATTCCTGTCAAACGAACAGTTTAATGATATTCACACTTTTTGTAACTGAAATATCCCAAGTGTTATACTTTCTAAAACAAAGATTTTTTAAGCAAGATCCAGTAGAAATCATAAATCTTTCAAAAGTGATTAAATTTTTCAACTAGAGTTATAAATAATTCTCTTGATTGTAGAAAAAGTAAGCTAGAAAAAGTTTTCATCGAAATCACTGTTCAGATACTCTCAACTGTGTCAAAATAGACTTAGAAATCTGCTTCGATTTCATCGTTTGACTTCTCAGATGTCATCATACTACAATTTTCAGCTCAAACAAATGGAATTTCAAAGCAATATGCATCAATGATCTTCTTTTTCTGGAATAATCATAGTCCTTAGTGTTTTGTCAAATTTTATGCACTATTTTGTCGGCATGTTTCGATTGCCGTGTATAGGGTTTTGTAGAACAGACTCTGCGCTACAAAACCCACAAAGTCCCATTGTGCAGGAATATAGCCATTTTAAGTTATATGGTGATCAACTTTTTCAACATGGATAGTCAGGGATAGCTAGATATATAAATCCAAAGATTTCAGAAAATGTTTTGAGACATCAGAGCTTGTAGAGCTTTCTTCTCTGATTATTTTGACATAAAATTTTGTCCTATTTCATTGACAAATAACGCTGGTAGAGTCAAAATACTGCAAAAAATAAGTAACCGATACGACTTTTTCATGTTTCAGTATTTTGACCCTAGCGCCGTTATTTTTTGATGAAAAGAAAAATTTTATTTTTATCAAAATGATCAGCACAAAAAGCTCTACAAGCTGTGATACCTCAAAACATTTTCTGAGATCTTTGTATTTTTTATGGTATACTTCCCATGAAAGTGCCCAATTATATTCCAAATTCTAAACTACATCACTATTCAAATTGGGCTCTCTTGTCTTCTTAATTCAACTAGATAGAGCATATACTCAATCGGAATTAAATAATCCATAATATGTCAACAAATGCAGCTAATATCTCATGTGATACTGTTTCTGAAGTTCACATGATACACTGCAAAGATTTTTCTGGGAAATACAATCTTACAGAAGTGTTGAAATCTAGGAGTAAGAATTTGAACTTTCTCCTCCGTGTCTGATACACCGTACGTCAATAAAGTCTCGTTATAATATATGAACTACTTATTACATTTCTGGGGAATTAAGTAAACGAATGGTGAAGAAATATGTTCCAAAATAGATAGAATAAAATAATCTCTCTGTGATTAGCCACAGTAGCTACATCGTGTTTCACATTTTAATCTGGCAGGAATTACGCTATCAGCTTTTTTTCATTCAGTTTGGCTTTATGTTGAAAAACATACAACTACACCAGAGAAAATGACCGATCAAGACGAGCAATTTACACGATTACTGAGCGTTCATATCTTTAAAACATCGATAAAAGCAATTTTTTTCTTTTAAAATATTTACGAAGGTTATCATATATACAATGGCTCTTTCCCTACGTCGAATTGCTTTCAATTTGAATGGTTTCATTTGGTTTTCAATATTTGTCATTTTGAAAAAGCTTTTGCCAATGGATTTGATTCATTCCTTGAAACATAATTAGATTCAATTCTATGCAGAAGAATTAATTTTTACTGTATGATAATATGTCACAAATTGACACATAATAAATAGGTGTCATTTCTACATATAGAATTAGTTACTATAGAATATATACCAATCAAGGAACTATATTTTTTAAAGCATTAAAATACAAATAAATTATTAGTCAAAAACGTGAAACTATCTCTAGTATTTTTGTTTCATATAATAAAATTGATATATTTATTCCGAAAGAAGTTTATTTGTAACTTGTTCAATAACATCCCAAGCAAATTTAACATGTTTCTCATCTGCTAACCATGAACATATAGCTAAACGTAAAATATATTTTTGTTTAACCATTGATGGTACAAGATAAATACGTTTATCATCATTTAATGCTTTTAATAAACGTTCATTTAATTCATTTGAACTATTTTTTAATCGAAAACAGACAAGACCAAGTTGTGCAGCAGCTGTAAAGACAATTTCAAAACGATTATCTTTACTAATTAAACTAATAAAATAATTAGCTAATTGAATATGTTTACGAATATATGCTCGTAATCCATCTAAACCAAATGAACGAAAAACAAACCTTAAAATAAATATAATTTAGAGAAAAGTTTTTTTTTTTAATGATTAACATACCAAAGTTTAAGTGATCGAAATCGTCGTCCTAATGGAATTTGCCAATGTCGATAATCAGGTGCTGATGATTGAAATGCATGTTTTAAATAAAGTGGATCAACATTAAAAGCATCAATAAAATGTGTTCGATCTTTAAGATACATTGCTGAACAATCAAAATTAACTAACATCCATTTATGTGGATTAAAATTAAATGATTCAGCATATTCAACACCATTTAATAAATATTGATATTCAGGACAAATAAAAGCATTTCCAGCATAAGCTGCATCAATATGCATCCATAAATGTTCTTTTTCACATACACGTCCAATAGTAACCAAATCATCAAAAGCACACTAGAATTATCATAAGACAAAAATAAAATAAACTAGAATTATTTTTTTTTTATTAATATTTACTGTTGGAGTTGTACCGAGTGTAGCAACTATAAAAAATGGTATTAAACCTTGTGCACGATCTTCAGCAATAGCTATTTCAATTTGTTCTCCACGCATAACACAATCTGAATCTGAAGTTATTTTACGTAATCGACAACCAAGAATTAATGCAGCTCTATCAACTGATGAATGAGCTTGATCAGAACAATAGATAATTAATTGATCAAGTAAACGACCAAGTGTTAATGTTGGATCTTCAGTTTTTTTTTCTTTAAAAATTCTTGAACGAGCTGCAAGTAAAGCTACAATTGTAGCTTCACTAGCTGTACCTATTTTATTTAAATATAAAAATATTTTCTTGTTTTTTGTTTTTATTAATCTGTATTTGTTGTCTTAATAAAAATAAAAATAAAAAGAATTTACCTTGAATTATTCCACCACCATTTCCAGTTGAAAGAAAAAATTCCGGTAAATTCATTGCCTTTGCTAACCAATCCATAACAATTGCTTCAAGTTCTGTACATGCTGGTGATGCTATCCATGAAAAACCAATACAAGCAATACCACCAGATAATATATCTGCACAAATAGCTGGATATGATAGAGCTGTTGGAAAATAAGCATAAAAATTTGGACTATGCCAATGTGTAATACCAGGCATAATTGTTGATTCAAGATCATTTATAATTGATGAAAATGATTCAGCTTGTTCAGGTGCTTGAGCTGGTAATAATTGACGTAAATAACCTGGTTGTACATTTGCAACAACAGGACGTTTTTCAATTGAACGCCAATATTCAGCAACAAATTGAAGCATCATTGCTCCGCATGATACAAGTGCATCAGAATCCATCTTTCCTTTTTTTTTTTTTTTATCTACAATAAAATTAAAATGTAATGAACAAAATAAAATCGGTACTAGATATGCTTTTTTTTGTTAGATGTAGAGAACCTATTTGTTATAGTCATATATGAAAAATATTCTTTGATCGAACACAGGAAAACGATTAATTTATAAAAGCAAAAAAGAAATCTAGGAAGGAAACGACTCCTACTACGATCGTCGCCTTTATATAATGATTGATGAATAACAGAACATTAGTCATTTTTCTTTATGTTTTCTTCTATTGAACGTTATTCTCAAATAACGTTCGTTTATAATCATGAGATGTCAAATCGGACATCTCATTTAAAAGTCTAATAGATCGTGCATTATGATTATTCCGTATTCAAAACGTTTATCATGCAGTCATTCATCTCTTTATACTTTCTTAATGATTACATTGCGTATGCTTATAGGTTTCTTTCTAATTTTTATATTCATTTTCTGCTGCATTAATTATATTTAAAAAAAGAAAGATTAAGCGCGCATGCGTAAAATTATATATGTTATCTTTATATTATTTGTTTCTAGTTTGTTTTTTATTTATAAATAATATTGTTTGTTTTTTAAATATATTTACACGATCTCCATCAAGTCAATTAAAAGAAAAATGTGGTCATAGTATTCTATTAAATAATAATTATTGGTTATTAAAACAAACACATCATGCATTAAAAGCTATACATAATAAACAATTAACATTTGATATTTTACCATGGACTCGACTTTCAATATCTATTCAACAAATCTATAATGCTTGTTTCGTTGATGATATAAAATATTTAAAAGAACGAATGTACATACATAAAGCAACATTAAAAGCAGGTACTTTAGTTGCTAAAAAAGTAAAAGATGTCAGCCATCCAACATTGATTAACATTGCAGAGAAATGATATCTATTATTTAACCTATATAAAATAAAAAAACAGAAAAAAAGAACGAAAAATGATAGTTACACAATATATATATATTAGATAAGAGTACTCAATAGTATACAGATGGAAATAAAAAGATTTTTTTTTCTCACAAGCGTCTGATAAAAAAAAGTTGTGTCAGCATTATATTCGTCATATTAGAGTTCGATATGCAAGATGACGAGTTATAAGTTTTATTTAAATATATTTTGAATCAAAGGTAATAAGAATTATGAATAGGATACTAATGAAAAAATAAAGTTATGAAAAAAGAATAACATATAATGATGTCCAAAAAGTATTCGGACATTCTTATACCCATTCGTATTTCGTTATTTGTGCGATAGGAGCCAGAGATTTTTTACCAGTAGATAGTGTTCACTTCGTACTACATTCTTTATAAAAATCAGCAAATTAGCTCATGATTTCGAATGACGAGAATCTTTCTCATCAAGAAATATCAGATTTTTCAATATTAATACTATGATACAAGTAACAGATGAGAATAATTTTTTTCAAAAGTACTCTCAAAATATACCCCTAGAATGCCCGTCAAAAGTTGCACAAAAATCTTTTAAAACATTCGCTTTTGTACAGCTCTTGATGGACATTCTAGCGGTATGTTTTGAGAGTACTTTTGAAAAAAATTATTCTTATCTGGTACTTGTATCATAGTATTAATATTGAAAAATCTGATATTTTTTGATAAGAAAGGTTCTCGTCATTCGAAATCACGGGCTAATTTGCTGATTTTTATAAGGAATGTAGTACGAAGTGGATACTATCTACTAGTAAAAAATCTCTGATTCCTATCACACAAATAACAAAATACAGAAGGATATAAGAGTGTCCGAATACTTTTTGGACTACCGGTATATCTATGTAGTGTTTTATCGAATGTGAAGACCGAGGAGATGGTGACCCTTCTAGTAGGGATGGATCGTAAAACGTAATAAGCGTTATACCTTCGTTTTTGTTTCGCCATAAATTGTGACAGAACATGAAAGAAAAAGTCGTGATATCGACGAACATAGTCGTAAGAAGACATGATAGATTATTATCGACGGCGTAATGAGCGTAAGACGTTTCTTACGCATTATGATATATATTGAGTATATATAGGGATTGAAAGAAACGACCATGATTATAAAATATATACTATACTATATATTCTGTATCTGATGATTGAGGAGAAATAGAAGTAATTAGCTATGTACTGTATTCCTAACAAATTAATTTATCGATTACTTCTTAGCAAAAATAAGTCATGAACAACTCTAAAATTTTATTAATTACTTGACGTCACCTTCCAAAAAATAAATTAAAATCAACAAATTTTTTTTTATCGTGCTTTTTTATTCTCTTCAGATATGATAAATACGTAACCTTTTTATTTAAATTGCATCAGTTTTGATATTGTTCTATTATATCTGAATTTACGTTCATATATTGAAATATTTAACAAAAATAAATAACTATCTATTACATTATTTCGGCGGAAAACGTAATAAACACCTGTTTCATTTACAGTCATCCAGTAATAGTCCAACATTAAATGACTATACGTAGTGTCGCATTATAACGTTACACCGGACGGAAGCACAAAAGAATTCACGGTAGAAAGGAAGAAAATACAGTAAAGTCTCTATTAGTAGACACCTCTCATAAGTGAACATCTCTTAGCTCTGAACTTGAACACTGTTTTACAGTTCCGATTGCTATTATAACCTCTCTTAGATGAACGCACGTGAATTTTTTTCGACTCTTCTCTCTATCGTTTCTGATTAGTTCAGTAAAAATGGCTATTTATTGTTTGTTACAACTGCACATATCAGTCGAACAATAACTTCTTGATATCATCTTATATTAACAGAAAAATTCAACTAATTAATGATAGCAGTGATGATAATGTCTTGTCACAATTTAAATTAGCTGAAAAATGCAACATTTCAATTGATTCTGTATCTAATATATTAAAACGAAAAAAAAAAGAATTTTTACAAGATTATGAAAGAAATCAGAAGCAAAATTAATTGATGTTTCCATTGATTCGAAAAAATAAAGACAAACAATTATAAGTGTTCTGTTTTATGAAAAAGTTTTTCCCTTGCACTAAATTCAAATGAAAGAATATAAGTTAAACAGAAAATGTTCTTCAATTACCTTAGAACTGGTAGAGAAGCTTATCTTCTGAAACTTAGTCTTATAGTGTAGTAAAATAGATGACATCTCCCATAGATGAACACCTTTTAAAATTGAACATTTTTCAAAAGTCCCAAGCGTATTCACTTAAGAAAGATTTTACTGTATATATGACAGTCGATTGAATACGAAAGAATAGGAAAAAAGCTGACGTTAATAACATAATGTTTTCTTCCTTTCCTTCCTTCGTAAGTTTTAAAGATATACATCATTTTGCTATAGTTGAAGACGTTTCGATCCATCACTACCTTCTAGAATTTTTTGTCACATACTATTTATCTATGGTTCGAAAAATAAACTTTCACCCTTTCGAAGTTTTAATCGAAACAAAAAACTACTGATTCCATGAATATCATTATATTTTTTTAAATAATCTAAGATGAAAATAAATCTTTTAGCAGTTTATTTATACAAATAATTATTTTCTTTTCATTTGATCAATTATGAGTCTATTATTAACATTCTATTTTTTATCTTTCAAGTAAAAAATTTTATGAATAATGAACTTTAATATCTTTTGTTTTTTTTTGTTTTATTTTATTAATCACAAAAATAGAATTAAACATTATTTCAATAATAAAATAAAGCATAACATAATAATTATTATTAATAGAGAAGTTTGTTTTATTATTCCGTGATCTTTTATTAAATCAGGATCTTCCATTTTTTTACATATTAAACCTTTTTTATAACATTCTTTAAATTCATGAACAATACGTTTATCATTTTCAATAAGTTGTTGTCGTTCTCGACTTGTTTTAATATGCATTTGATTAACATTTAATGCTTGTGTAATATTTATTGTTGCTAATGCTAAACAATCAAATATACATTCATCAATAAAATCATTTTCATTTGATGAACAAATATGTTCACATTGTTCTGATAATTTTGATTCATATAAAATTATTTGACGACGTTGACGTGTTGTAACAATAGAAATTTGTCGTTGACTTTGTGCAAAACGTTCTTTTAAACGTGTTATTATTGCTTGTCGATCAATAATTTCATTTTGTGGACAACCTGTTATTAAATATCCATCAGAATTATTTAATAATAATTCAGATGAACGAATAAGAAAAAAATAAAATTTTGACCATATATTAACAATTATTTGTGTCGATGTTGGAATATGATTTAATGTTATATGACCTTGATTTGAATGTTTTTCACTATTATCAATTTTTATAATTGATGTTGATAATGTATCAAGATAGATTAATTCTAATGGTAATTTTCCATTTAATGCTCTATAATATGCAATTAAACTACCATTTGAATTAAAAAAATCAATTTGTAAAGATGTTAGGGCTGTAGCTGTTAATTCAGGATCACCAACATATTTCGATATACCAGTTATTTTAAAATGAGGATTAGATATATATGTACGATTGTTTAATAATTTACATGTTATTGCTTTTGTTGTATGAAGTGAAATAATATGTGGATCACCTAAGACAAAAATAATGTTCATTATCTAAATTATATAAATACATCCATTCTATCCTTAAAAAACCCTCGACAATCCTGATTTGAATAGTTCTAGCTCGAAAGAATAGTAAATCTATTAAAATTAGAGATTATTTGAACTGTTATTTATAATCAGAAGTTATTTACTCATACTATGCAATTCAATATGTGAAATGGATTTATAAATGCAAATGTAAATCTAAAACTGGTTAGATTGACAAATAACATGCAAAACATTGTGAGTTTTTTCTGACATCTAATAAATCACAAAGAGAACGTCGTATGACTATCGATCAAAACTTTTATGTCTTCAAGATTTTTTTGCTACATAATAAATAAGAAATTCTTATAAGAAGATGGCAGTTTTCTTCAATGAAGAAATGAAACAATAAAATATTCTTTTTCTATATTTCAATAAAGATCAATACCATGAATAGATGACGTAGCTCGTTTTGATTGTGCAAATCCTTCAACATTTTGACTTGGTAATTTTTGTTTAACAATTTTTGTGATATTTAATGATGTGGGTGTTGATGAATTATATTTATCACGTACAGCTAATAATTCTTTAAAAACAAATACTTCTTTTGTTGCTGTTGAACAATGTGTTGGGATTGAATTATAAATACATCGAAGAAAATCTTCTGACCATTTCGTTATTTCATTTAATGATGCTTTTGTTTGTAATGTCATTTGAATATTTTGTTTAAATATTGCTAAACATTGTTTATGTTTTGTTAAAGTTGTTTTTGTTAAACAATTTAATAATGAACGATTAAATTGTTGTGAAAAATGATCTAAAATAAAAAAATTAAATATTTCATTTAAACAAAATAAAAACTTCATTCATCATACTTGAAAGTTTATTTCCATCACAAAATGGTACTAAATTTTGTAAATAATGATCATTGTCATAAATTTTTATATCATGATCAAAATATTCTAATGGTAATGGATAACTTTCAATTAAATTTAATATATGTCGATTAAAACCAGGTTGTATAGTATTACAATTTTTTAATTTTGTTTCTAAACATTGTTTTATATCTTGATATATACGACAATGTGCATTATAAAATTCGACATTATCCATTGAATAATTTAAAAAACCAGCTGAATCAGAATCGAAACATATTTTTGGTAATGAATCACGAACAAAATCAAACATGGATTGTGTTTGACAAATACTATCATCAGCTTGAAGAAAAGTATTTATTTGTAAAAATAAGAAAATAATAATTGTAGAAAACCACATTCTTTTGAATAAAAAATATTTCTACTATAATGAAATATACATCGATTCTAAAACAAAGAAAAAGAGAAGAAATATTGTTGATTGTTACCGATTATTCATATATGTTTTTTTAGCAAACATAGTGTTTTTTCCTTCATCATGATACCAACAAGAAAAAAATGACAAATAGGCCGTCGATATGGAACAAAAACAAAGAAGATAACATTGACTTTTTCTTCCTGGGTGTTATTATTTTTCTTTTATGGTACACATATATATATATAGAGAAAACATTGAAAGGATTTTGATTGATTGATTGATTGATTGTGAGAAGCAATGTCAAGTTTATTGGTGTTTACTCGAAGTCATTGATGTAGAAGATTACAAAATGATGTTTTTTTTTTATCGTAAATTTTTGACCTATTCACGTCGTATTCATCGGAAATGAGAAACATTCTATCTATTTTTTCTTGACAAATATTAGATAATTAAGAAAGATAAATTATTTCCTGATGCTATTTAGAATTTTCTGGATGGAGAATATTTTCTTACACAAAATCATCTATTTATTATCAAGCTTATAATGGAAAAAGTGGTCTACTTTTTTTGTCCTTGTATATGATGACTGACGACCATATACTAGATGATAGATTGAATGAATCATTAGTTTAAGGCCCACCCCCCACCCAAAATTTTATTTTTGCCATAGAACATCGAATCTTAACGAAATTTTCAGAGTAGATGTATCTTGAGCTGGGCACCTTGTGATAAAAATTTCAGCCTGAAATCTTAAGGATTCCAGGAGATAGCTTAATATTAAGGTCCAAAACATAGGTCTTCGTGCGTCCCAGATTTCTCCACCATTTTGAAAGCTAGAAAGCTCGGGTTTGTTTTAAAATGTGGCCAATATCTGGGACTACAACTTAACAGAGTCCGATTTTTTAATTTTTCTTTAGCTTAGTTTTTAGAGAACTTCTACGTCATGATATGAAATCAGTAGGGTGTAAATTTTCAAACATTTCCCCCTCATCTGACATCTGTCATGAAATCGAAAAATCGAGCTCTGTTAAGTTATAGCCCCAAGTGTTGACTACATTTTAAAACGAACCCGAACTTTCTAGCTTTCAAAATGGCGGAGAAATCTGGGACGCACGAAAGCGTAAGATCAAAAAATCTCATTTCGAGAAAAACGCAAAATACATTTTAGAAGTGTATTTCATGACTTTTCATCCAGTTATAGTGTTTTTCGATCATCTTAAATAATAAAAGACACTTTGAACTCATTATGGGTGAAGATATTACGACAAAAATTTATTAGAAAGTTCATCGAAATGATCTTAAAAACCAGATTTTAGGAAATAACATGTGATAATGAATGATATGATAATAAAATAAGTAGTATTTTTAAAATCTGAGATAATGTTGATTATTTTTCGGTAATCAATCATCACCACCTGCTTCATATACATCAGTAATGTCATCATCTGACAGTTCTAATGCAATATCATTGAGTTCTAATGTAATATCATTTACAATGGAATCATAGTTTTCTTCATTTGGGGTATATGCAATTTCACTATCACTTTCAGTTGAAAATATATATCTCGCTACGTGACAGAATCAAAGTCAAGATAATATTCTGCACAATAGAAAGAAATATATTTTACTGTTACAAATTGAAATGCGCAAAAACACTGAATTATTCGAAAGACGTCGTTTTTCTTGAATAAAGGTTTTCAGAAAAACCTCTGTAAAACCCTTAAAATCCATCTTAAACAAAATAAACTACAGTGGATTCGATAGCGGACGTGATGCTCTATCACATGCGCCATTAAAAAAAATCGATAAATTTGACAGAAATCAACTTTTTTTGGGTGGGGGGTGGGCCTTAAGATATTTTCAAAAAAGTTGTAAAGTCTTAACGATTGATAATTCGAAAGTTCTCTAGCTCGGTTGCTTATATTTTATCCTATCAAGCATGTTTGGTTTTGATTTTGAGAAAATATCACTGAGTGATAAAATGTTGAGCAGTAGGAAGCATGTTTATTCGGAAAAGATTAAATAAACTAAGTCATTTAAATAAGAAACATGTGACAAAATCTTCAAAAGATATACCGAAAATGCTGATATTTATTAAAACGGTTTTATAGAGAACCGTTTTATATTGTCTTCAAAATCTATCTTGCAATGTTTGAGGTGATTGTAAATATTATGAGAAACTCAATGTCATACTATACATATGATTCTACCTCCATGGAATAAAACTATTCTCTATGGTATCTACTGAGATATTTTGCCCACGTTTACATATATCGGGATATTTAGCATATATTTTGCGATTTTCTCTCGAATGGTAGATTCGATTGAGTATATTTTTTTAAATATTAATTAGATGATATTCAGGGAAGGAAAAAAAGATAAAATTCTTAAGTCAAACGAGCAACATCTATTGGTGATATTCATAAGCTATAACGGAACATAATTTGTTCAATGTGTCTGTAACAAAAGGTTCTCACGAAATTATGGTTCAGATATAAATCTGAACGAAAATGTATCCTATATTCTTAAAGTTTAGATCATTGTCTTCACAAATAAGTATAATTGAAAGTTTCAAAAGACTTCTATTTTTGAAGGAAAAATTTCGATCAGTAAGCAAGTTGTAACATCACTCTAAGACATTTTAAGCTTTTCAAAATTACCGAAAGATATGTAATGGAATCACAATTATTCTCAATATACACGTTAAAACATGATAGTACAATAAATGTGCAATTCACTCGTATAATTAAATTCTAGTTCTTTGTTTCAAATTTCTTTGCACATTATTACCATGAAATGAAAATTGTCTTGAGTGTCAAATTGTCTATTTAGGTAAAAAGTATTCTGAAGAGAAATATTTGGTTTTTCTAGGGGCTATCACGGTTGAGTGATGACGCTGTTGGGTACATATTGATAAGGTACTCTGTACAAACCTTAGCAACACTAGTCATGAACGATGATTGTTCGTCTTATATCATTCGTCCGATTGCATGCTCTTGTGGTTAGTATTTGGTTAGTTCATGTGTATGGAGAGCTCTATGTCAGACAGAGCTTTATCTAGAGTTACAGCTAGTACTAATTGTAGAGAGGTTATCGGACGAATGAATCTGTCACTAGGTAGTCAAGAGACAGGATTATTCTTCCTTATTTTTCTTATCTAAAATGATAATTAGGATAGACATAATAATGTACTTGACAACATTTGTTTTATTTTTTTTTAATCTATGAATTTTTTTTATAAAATTACATCATTCTGTATTATCTTCTATAGTAAGATATTAATATTCGAAAAGAATTGAATACGTATATAAAAATCATATATTTTGTTTCATCCTTATTTCATTATATAACAGGTCTCAGATAAAATCCATTGATTTATTCAATAAAATGTATCAAAATGAAATGAACTAAAAGATCTATCATACGCTTCTCGTGTTCAATTTTCATGACATCACTGATAAAGATAAAAGTAACCGAGTTGATATAATCTTTTAATTAAAATTCAAAGCAAAATCTTCATATTTGTCATCAAAGTTCGTTGAAAAACTAATCATCATCATTTGATAAAATGATAAAAAGAAAATATTAAAAATATTTTGTCTTTTTTTTTCTTTTGTAATTCAGTAGACTACATATTTCAAGAACTAGTTTGATTTTATTTAAAAATTTTTTCCTTTTTTTTTTTTATGCTTATAACTCAAACGATAAAATTTTTTATGATGAACATCTAACGTGTATACAAAGTGACATGTGTGTGTTGTCAAATTTGAGGATATTTGATCATGAACAAATTTGATAGATGCACACAAATGAAAAATTTTCTTGATAAAAGCAAGAAGAAAAATGAATTAAAATCTATTAAAAATGAAATAAATAAAAAGAAAAAGATCGAAAAAAAAATTATTGTACGGGAATAATTAAAAGACGATGGAGTATAAACGTCAAGGACTAACGAAAACAAGAAAAAAAAGCTAAGAGAAAAGAATAAGAGAAATAATTAAAAGAAAGAAAGAAAGAAAAAAAAATCAAATTTTACAACAATAAAAAGAGAAAAAAACACTTTTTATTTTTATTTTTATTTATAATCAATGAAATAGCGGAAATATTAGTTGAATTATAATAATGAAAAAATGAAAAAAAAAGAAAAAAGAAAAGAAAAATGAAACAATAAATAAGACTGAATACGAAAGCCTTATTTTATGTATTTGAGAGCAATATATATTTGTCTCTACATTGACAGAAAAACAATAGCACATTAGATATCCTCGACTTCCATTCTCACGATCAATTGAATGATGAATATAATCTTTAATCATCATATGAACGAGTTGGTTGTCTACAATAAAGAAAGAAAAAAAATCATGAAATTAAAATGACTTTGGCAGGGATTGAACCTGCGACCTTTCGCGTGTAAAGCGAATGTGATAACCATTACACTACAAAGTCTGTAAATTAAAACCTATTGAGTCCAAAATTTCCAAACCCAGACCCAGTCGATTGAAATTTTTCGGATTCGGTCAAACCGTACTTTGATACTCTCAATAAAATTTTCTAATCAACATTGGATAGTCGTCCCAAAGATAAGAGATACTTTTTTTTCGATTGTTTTGTATTCAATGACTAGTACACTCTACACACTTTTTCAGACGACTAACGTCCACCGAGCCCTACATTTCCAGACTCGATCGGATCCAGAACCAACCTGATGGGCTCTACTGTAAGTGTAAAATTAACCTGATGTGAGAAAAAAACATTTTATTTACCGATTTTCGATGATTGTTATCATATAATGAACGACGTGACAAAGATGGTGAACTGGAATAAATAGATTCCGATGATGAACTACTACTACGATTTTGTCGAGTTGTTGAATGATATCGATTATTATTATTTGTATTTCGTTGATGATAATGTTTGATATATTTTTGATTACTATTATTATCTTCTGGAATATATTTAACTTTCATTGGAACTGTTGTTGGTTTACCACGATTAATATAAAAACGTTCAAATGCATCAAGAATTTTTTCTACCGAACGACTTTGACCTTCTCGTTGACGATGTTCTGCTTCATCATCATCATCATCATCATCATATAATTCATTATTATTTGATTGATTATAATTTTGATTTGGTAAGATACGTTGATGAGGATCAATAAATTGTTGCTGTTGTTGTTGATATGGATCGCCTGGATAAACAATATTACCAGCACCTGGAAAATGTGGTGATGGACCATGAATTTGTTGTCCTTGAGGTGGTAAAACACCTTGTTGATATAAAAATTGTTGTTGTTGATTGGACAATTGTGTTCGTCCAACTTGTGAAGCAGGTGGAGGTGGTGCTGGTACAGATGCTTGCTGTTGTTGTTGTTGTTGTTGAGGTGAAACACCAGTAAATCCTTGACGACTATTAACATGAGCTGCAGCTGCCTGTGCTAATCTTGCAGCTGTTTCTTCACGTGTACTTTTTGATGTTGGAGGTTTTGTTTCTCCTTCAAGTGTTTGATGACCATCCGTTTGTGAACTTCAAAAAAACAAAATTGAAAATTTGATAAAAACAAAATCAAAAAATTATTATTTTTTTTGTTATAGTAAAATACTTACTGTTGATGTGCTTCTGATGTTCGTTTATTTTGACCAGGTATTATACCAGTTGTTAAATCTTGTTGAATATGATGTTGTTCTGTTTGTGAACTTCTATTACTCAATGTACGATGTCGATGTTTTTTTTTTGATGAAAAATCACGAATAGCTTCACCTGTAGTATTATTTAATTCAACAATAACTGGTGTTTGTCTTGGTGAGACACTACTAGCATGTTTTGATCGATGATGAGAACGAATTGTTCCATTTTGTCCTCCTATTGTTTCATTCTTATTTAATGTTGTCTTATTAAGTTTTCGTTGTAATTTATAAATTTCATCTTCTAATGTACGAATACGATGACGTAAATGTTGAATTTCTTGTTCACCTGAACCATGAACAACACCTATATTTGACCATGGTTGTAAAGTATTATAAGGTACAGAACCAGGAGTAGTACTATAATAATTTGGTTGAATTTGTGAAATACCATAAGGTTGATATGGATTAAATGATGGACGAATATTACCGAATGGTTGTTGTTGTTGTTGAGAATATCCAGAATTAGTAGAACCAAATTGATATGCTTGTTGTTGCTGTTGTTGTTGTTGTTGTTGTTGTTGTTGCTGCTGCTGCTGCTGGTGTACTAGTGGAGGTTGTTTCTGTTGATCATCTTCATGAGGAAATAATTGTTGTTTAACTTCAGGTGGTAAACGTGTTGAACGTTTTGCATATTTACGAGTAACATCACCACGTCGAATAGATTCTTCATAAGCTTGATTATAACCAGTATAAAGTGGTTGACGATGAACCTGTGAATTCAAATGATTTTTTTTTGTTTTTATTGAATTATGATGTGTTATTAAGAAAAAAAAAAGATTTACCTTTAATTGTGTAGGTAATTCACCACGATATTCTTCATAGTAAGTTGGGTATTGAGTATAGTGCTGTGATTGATGTGGTTGTTGATAAAGATTCTTATCAAGTGGAATACCTTGTGATAGTGGAATGTTATAATTATCATGATGATCTCGACGATGATGTTTTTTTCTCTTTGAACTCGATTTTTGTCTGTCACTTTCTACATTTGCTTGTGCTTCTTCAGTTCTAGCTACCCCTCCTTGTGTTGCATCACCACCATGACTACTTTCAGTTAGTTGAGATTGTTGACGTTGATCACGTTCACCAGATCCTTCTTCTTTTGGTCGATTGGCTAATGGAGATGATTGACTTCCACTATGTAATTGTTGTTCTTGTAATTTTTCATGACGTTCTTGACGCTTTTGATCATGATCAGAATATAAACCTTGTTCACCAGCACCACTTGGTGAAAGACTTCGTCGTTTATGATATTTTTTACCTAATTTATTCAATAAAAAAGAAAAAAATTTTGATTTTTGATTTTTTTTTTCGCTTTGTTTCAACTAAACAAACACGTACTTTTTGATCCATGATTACTACGTTGTTCATAATGATGAGATGGAACTGGTGGTGGATAGTAACTATATTTTTGACGTCGAGATGATGATGATGATGGAGGTGGTATATAAGTACCATTTAGTATTGGATATTGTCTACCTGATGCTGGTAATGATTGACCACGTGGTGGTGGTTGAGCTTGTTGAAAATGTGTTGCAATTTGAGGATTAAATCCCGTAAGACCACCATATTGAGATTGATAAAGTGATGCTGATAGTTGTTGACCAGGAAATGGAAAACCAATTGAAGCTTGATTAAATGCACTTGTTGGATACATGTTATCAATAGAGAGAAAAAAAAACAAGCAAACAAACAAAAAAGATTTCAAATCTAAAACTAAGTCATACTATATGACGTCGTTTAATCAAATAAAAATAGATTCAATTTAAAATATTTAATGTGACGTAAAAAAAGATATCATCAAATCAAGAAAAAAAATTTTTCACAAAATGCATACAAACACAATCATACCTTTAGTAATAAAAAAAACCCTAGTTGTATGGTTACATTTATCTTTCTCTCCTTTTTACGTCTATATAACCGTCCGACGAACCAGTCGTCACCGATTCAAAACTGTTTGTATTTTGTAATTGAAAAAGATGCTTGTCACTCTAAGAAAAATGTGAATACTTTTTTCGTCTTCTACGGTTATCATTCTATATTGATTGAAAAAAAAGATATAAATATATATATATATATATATTTATATTTCTATATGTATATGTCTTTTCTGATTGAAACCTTGAATATTGTCATGAAATAGTGAACATGCAAAGTTGTTTGTTTTCAACACTTGCATGTATCTATCAAGATTTTCACTTACTTGTTCACACATACAACTTTTTTCTACTTTTTTTTTTTTTTATTTTGTTCGTTAAATGACTATTACGCAAACTCTCTAACACTGTACTTTTTTTTCATGGGCTACTGATTGAAAGATATATATATATCGCAAAAAAAAAAATTACTAAATTTAACACGAGAAAAGAGAAGAAGACGAATGATGAACTAAAAAAAAAAGAATACATATCCTATCATATATTCTTCGTTTTTTCAAACTAAACGATAAATATATTTGATGTTTATATAAAATTCAAAAAAGAAAAAAGAAGAAATACATTGACGAATATCTATATTCGTTGTTGTACATTTAATTATTCAAAAAAAATAAGCGTATTTTTTTTTTCTTTTCTCTCTCTCACACACACACACACACACACACCTACACTTCACTATACATTCATGTTACATACGAAATGAGCAATTGAAGGATACTAGTACACTAACGACGATATGAGAGATGGTTATCTATCATCACCATCATTTCTTCTCTTTTTTTTTAATGTACAAAAAAAAGGTATAATAATAAAAAAGCAAAAGGTGCAAAAAAAAATTGACCATTTTACCAATTACAATAGTTGTCTTTTCTTATTTGAATATTAATTAAAATTTTATTCAAAATAAAAATGAAAGAAAATATCGGATAAGTAATCATAACATGTGGATACATGAAGAGAATATTGCTAGATATGAGGGTCACGCTGTATGAATGTTCAATTTGATGAATGGTTGATCACTATATGTTGTTGTCTACACCTTATTATTTTCTATATATATTCATAGTTTAGTCTGTTCTTTTCTTTTTTTTTCTTCGTCGTCTTCATTTATTATGTACCATTGAAATAGTTACGGTTGAGTGGTCATACAAACTTGCTCGACGAACGTTCAATAGTTGGGGTCAGGTCCTAACACAAGTAGAAAAATTAAAAGAAGGCGGAGATATTACTAAAAGAGATAGACAAAGAGCTTTCACATCGCTTTCTTTTTTATATTTGATATTGATAAGTGTAGAACGCTTCATCTTTCAATCATAGATTGAGTCTGCTTGCTGTTGTTGAATTTTTTAATCATTGATCGAATCACATTTATAATAAAAACCATAAAACGAGAATATGAACATGTATACTATTTTGAAAGCGGATAAAATGTGTTAAAATGAATACATCATGAATACAAAAAGCTAATACAAAATTGTAATTAAATGTTCAAACGAAAATAAGTAAAAAATTTTTTTGTTTAACAAGAAGATCAAGACATCAACTGTATACTATATCAAATGAAAACTTTAATAGACGATAGACATTAGACGTGAGTATCTAAAGACAATGAAACTAATAACGAGTACGAAAAGAGTTAGGTCTATGCTTTGAAATTTATCGAAAGTCTTGTCGAACAAATATAACTGTGAGTATCATGACAATTGTCAAGAAAATAATTGTTATCATGAGTAAAGCATTCATAGTATATACAGTTGAATAAATTAGATGTCGACCTCAACTAAGCATAGTTACTTTAATGATATTAAATATAATTAAAATAGTTTAAAAATAAAAACAGCTGAAGTTAATTATATAAAAGTATTTTATTGTATTGTTATTTGTCTTTGTCAAAAGAAATAAGAAGATTTTTGTTTTTACTATATATATATATATATATTCAAACTTTTTAAATACGTTCTCATTTTATCAAAATAGGTTTTCATCTTATTGTATTGACACTATTCGATATTTTTGAAAACAAACGTTTTTCATCGGTAGAAAAGTCAGAAAAATACTTTCGATTAGTGGGTGTTGGTATTGAACTTCTCTATTCCTACATCCACACATTTAAATTGAAAGGCTAACATCATCGACTTGATACAAATATTGTTATCTTCAATCGAAATTTCTATGTAGTGATTGATGAATTAATAAAAGATTATGCATTCGACATGACTACGATTAAACAATTTTACAACCATATGAATTAAGCCATCACGAAATAAAGTAATTTATATTTCAAAATCATCGAATTTTTGATTTAATAAAATGATATGAAAAAGGATTGTTTGTCATTAAATGAATATTTTCTTGTCACTATGTTATGAACTATTGATTGATGTTCTCATTTCTATTAGTAAAATAATTTTCTCTCACGCAAATTTGTATTTAGTTTTCTTCATAAAATACAACTCAATAACATGTATATGTTAATGAGAAACGAAAAAAAAAAAGTCTGTTGATGAAGCATAAAAATTAATTAATCAGTCTTAATTTTTTTCAATGAAACGGGACCAAATTCTCATCAAGGACAATACAAATACACAGTATTCATTAATTGGTTTCTTTCTTTTAATTAACCCTTTGAGGACAGTGTTACATATGTTGTACTACTTGTTTTTTTTTTCAGTAGAGAATAAATTATTTTGTTTACATTAAACTATTAGATTTTCAAAATCATAGGTTGTCTTATTTTTCATTTCATAAATATTTGTTGTCTATTTGGTGCTGTCATCTAAATCATTTTCAGATGTTCTCTTTTTTTTTCAATGACATCATGATTAATCTCTCTTTTATTGATGTAGTTTCTTTTGAGACTATTTGAAAAGATTCTCAATATTTATAGATCTTATAGCGGTGACCTACGCCGAACAGGCACGGTCATAAACGATCGTTTAAGGAGAAAAACAGACCTATATGGAGATCATATACGCAGGTAGTAAAACATACGGAGAGACAAATGGATAAACCGCTCTCCTTTGTATAGGGAAATGTACGATTGCCGTATATCACCGTGTGCTATGGTATAAGGTCGGCGTATGCTTAATTTGATTAAACTGTTGTGAAAGTGGATGTGTATAATTAAACAAATTGAGGAAGATAACGGCACCTTCATTTTAGATCATTTCATTGCATCAATATAATACACAGTAAATATAAACTATTTATTTTATTTTTTAGATCAATTTTATGCATACTGGTTGAGATGAATGTAATATACGGGAAAAAGCATCGTATATTCAGCGTATTACGATAAGATACGATCATTGTTCATGGTTGTACACGGTTAAAATAAGATCGTTTACGACCGTATAAGTTCCGCGTACGAAATCCGTTTTTCTTCGTATTTCGCCTTATATGGCCATGGAGATATACAATCATAATACTAGACCATGTAATATGATGAAATACGATTGTGTACGGACTCCGTATTCTTTCACCTGGGAAGACAAAAAACTCTTGGAAGATCTTTTCTGAAAAGAAGCTTAAATTAACATCACTACAATCTATTTTACATTTTAATAATGAAATGTATTTGCCTGAAAAAAAGAATGCCAAGAAGATATACTTACTGTAACATTATAGAAGTACACGTTAGATCTAATATCGAATTTTTTTACTTGCAAATGAGCATGGTGTTTAAAAGATAAATAAAATTATTTTATTTTGACTATTAAAAGGTTTTTATGTAATTATTTTGAGTTAAATACAATAAATTGATTGAAGAGCTAGTTTTTGATAGGAAAAAAAAAACTTCTATCCTCAAACGACGTAATATGATTTTATCATTTTGAAAAGAAAAAGAAAAACAAATAAAATTGTTGTTAAAATAAAAATATCATCTAATATAAGGATTTTTTTTCTTGATTATATAGCATACAAATTACGTTTATTAAAAAAAAAAGAAAACAGATATATATATTTATTGATCAGTAGTAATCATTGCATGTAATCTAGCCGATTTATAATCTGTACGTAATTGAACAAATGATTCAATTATATCTCGTGTTAATGATGCCTAATAGAGAAAAAAAAAACACAATGATCGAATAAATTGAGTTTTTCTTTTGTTTTAATCAAAATTTAAAATACATACAAGATGTCCTTCTGTAATAACTTGACGAAGATTATCAGGTACAACAACAAGTAAATTAACAAGTGCATGTAAAATAGAAAATAATTGTTCAACAGTTGAACTACGAAATTTTTTTGAACATTTTTTATATTCACTTATATCTTGTAACATCATTAAGCCACCTAAATAAAATAAAACAAAACTCAAATAGAATAAATTAATAAGTATTTTTTCTTTTTTTTCAAAACCTGATATATTATATTCAAATTTAAAAACATGATCTGTTATTAAACGATGAAAACGAAGACCAAATTCATTAAAAATACTTGTTAAATTTTTTCCATCAGCTGTTTGTTCAAGACGAACAATTTGATTATCAATTGAACGTACTACTCGTTTACATATCTAAATGAAATAATATAGATTCTTGAAGAGAAAAAAAAAAAGATAATAAAATAAAATTTACAGGTGAACATTCAGATATAAAAAGATCACTTTCTGGTTTAAAATCTGATCGTTTTTGTTCATTAAGAATATTACGAACAAAACCAATTATACATAATAAAGCTCTTAAAAAATAAAATAAAATAATCTTGATCGATA